CCTCCGTGACCAATGTATTGACATAACTGGGCCTAGGAACACCTTTATCATTAACAAAATTTTAATATCTTTGTTCATTATATGTTCATTTGCAGAGAGATCTTCTGCTTTGTTTTTTTGTGACATCTGGTCAGCTTTCTATGACAGCTGTGATCATGTTCCCTTCCCATCAACATGAGCCAGTTCACCCTATTCCCAGAAATTTGCAAACACAGGTTTGCTTTTGTAGTAAGATTAGCTTCCCTCTTGTACAAAATGAGGTCATTTACAGCAAGAGTTTAGCAGCACTGTAAAGTCTTACACATTTCTTTAGCTATGTTGCTGCACTGCATTATGATGGAAACAGTAAGAAAAACACAGCCAAGAATACTTCAACATACATTCTGAATTTGTTCAATACAGTTATGAACAATAGTATCTTAGGCATGAATAATGCAGACCTTATTTTCCGATTTTTGAAAATTAAAAATTTTCCTCTGCTGTTTTTGAGGCATCATATTTATTAATCAGAGAGAAAGCTGTTTTGGCTAAACTTACTTCATCTTTTGGGTGGATTGAAAAATTAAATTTGATATCTCACTGCTGTTGCTATAATTTGAAATTGGCAAATCTCTATTTCTCATTAGGATAAAACCTTTGATATCAGTGCATGACAAATGGATTGCTGATGTGAACTGTAGTAATTCTGTAACAGCTGTTAATGGGTCAAGAATTTGTGAATAAAAAATTACACAATGGAATATATGTAGCAGAGATGGAAAATCTATCTGCTCAAAAAATCCAGTTTCCGTAAATGCACTTAAATGTCTTCATATTTATGTTATTCACATAAATAGTGCTATTAGTTTTTGTTTTCTGTATGACGATACAGAGTAATCTGAGTCCTACAAGTCAAATCTTACTATCTAATCTGAAGGCATTTCAGCATTCTCAGGATTCTTTTGTGGTAAGTACCTACTTCTGTGGTACCCAGGTACCTAAGACAAGTGATAGTGTCTTATGCTTAACTAGATGATATTTTTTGTCTGCAGATATGCTTGAATTATAACTGATCCTAATATGAGCCCTAACTGATATTAGGACTCCATAAAATTTCACAAATTATTCTCAGTATCATTGAACAGAATCTGTGCTGAGCTTTAGAGATGAGAAGAAAATGGTCAGAGGGAACAGAAGGGAGCATGCTCAGAAGTAGTAGTTAGTACAGGGAGTCCATGGAATGATGAAGCTAATGAGCACAGAAGAGTGGATGGGAGTGAGACATATGGCTATTCCAAGAACCTAATACAAGGGGATGGTGAGGATTAAGGAATATGGGAGGATGACATAAGGGGAATTTGATGGGGAAGACCTGAAGAATGCAAAGAATTCTTGGTATATTTAATAAACTTGCCTGTAAAAAGACACAAAATGTGCATCATCCAAGTACTATGCAATAAACATGTACAACTCGTGTATATGAACAAAACAGGGAAAATTCTAATTATTTGGGTTCAAAACTGGCCGTCCAAATATGAGTAGACAATGAGTTGCTGAATTACGAGCTTCAATGTACAGAGAATTCAAAGTATTATCATGGAAAATGAAATCTTCTATCTCCTAACTTACTGAAGTGCCAGATCTGGCATGCAACACATGTTCAGGGATGGAGATTTGTTGCAAGGAAGCAAACAAAAGGAAAACCGAGCAGGCATATGCAAGATGGTTTTTTTGCTTTTTAGTTCCTACAGTTCAAATAGACTGGTAGCAACCGCTTCTGCAACAAGCTGTAGTAGTAGTCGCTTTTCCCTTTATTGCAGCATACAGTTTTTGTTTTCTTCATGTACATCTAGGAGATTATCCATACGTTTTATGTTGAGACACTGTATGACCATTTCTTGACAATACTATGGAAAAGTATCCATCTTTTGAGAGGACATCACAAAGAATCATAAACAACTCAGTTAAACAGCCTATATCCTCATTGTGAGCCATTAGAACCTACTTTAGACATAGATTTCCAGACGTCACAGTTAGCCAAGGCTAAAACACCTCCAGATAACGCTGACATTTTTTTGTATGGATCACAGAAAGTATTAAGCCAGAACTTAGAGCCTGGGTAAAATAAATATTGTATGTATAAACTTAGGGAAGGAAGAGCGAAGTAGACAGGAGAGTAGAAAACGACACTGTTACTACTAGTAGGTAGTTTTCTGGGAAATGAAGAGATGTATGGTGTCGTAAATGAATGCTGTTTTCCAGAACAAAGAATTCTGTTCTCTCCATCAAATGAGTTTGGTAATCTTACTGGGGCAATTTGTTTCTCCTGGAGGAAAAGTCTGCAAAACATTTGATCTGCAGAAATACGATGAGCAGGAGATGATCATGAGAATGATGACTGTCATGACAATGTCTGTGTATCTTTTTTTAAACTGAATCTTGATTGTGTGCATTTCATGGACTGCATTAATAGGCCTGAGAGGAAGAGAGAGAGCCCAAAATAGCTTGTGTCACCTGTATCTGAACATACTAAAACAAATGCGTAAATATTTTAAGAAACATAGACTGAAAACAGAAATTCCGAGGTTATGTAAGTTAGAAAATGTTTCCAATGTTAGAAAAAGGTGTAGCTTTTTTTTTCCTATCTCCTGTTGGATTTATTATTTCCTCCTCTTCCCTTCCATACAACAATATTATCATGACAGACTTTTGAAGAAAGCTTCAACCTGTTTTTTCGCATTTACTAATATCTTCTCAGCTAATCAGCTAACTAAAGCTGTAACTACAGTTAGCTAATCTCAGCTAACTTTTCCAATTCAAATGTCGCTTCTCAGCACCTCTTTGTTACTGTGCAGTTGTTTAATTTGCTGAGCAAACTAAGACTCCTGGTGATGTTTTTGCAAATAAAGGAGCAGCCTGAACAGGAAGCTGTTGTTCATTCCTTTGTTACCTGAATGCCTCCGCTTGTATGAATCTTCTGCATTCTGTGGAGCTGAGACTAAAAGAAATGATAGTCATTCTGACTAGTTCCACTAAACTGCTTAGCTTATTCAGTGGAATTGGTTTATGAAAGCTCCCGAAAGGTTTTTTAAGCAACAGATATCATTGTTTACCATCCTAAAAGTCACAGATTAAGAAATTAAAAAGCATCTGAAAGTAAGGATCGTTTCATCTAAAGGAGGCTCAATTTGCATGCTATAGATGTAATGAATAGCTTTCAAGTCTAGTTAATGTAGTAACTTAGTAAATAGGTGACTTTCAACCTTTAATGTTTCTTTAAAAACTGAATAGTTTCAAGTTGCATTCACAATATATTTCTATATAAATTCATTGCTTGTTTCATACAAATCTATACTATCATTCTATATAGGGCAAATGAAGCAGAAGGCAGGTTGCATTTATCCTATGACAAGATGAAAAGCTGATTACGCAGATGAGTGCAGATGAAGTGGAAACCTCTCAGAGATTAGGTTTTGCTCTCGGTGTGCCCTACATTGCAGCCTGACATAATCGTTTCATGTTGGTTGCTTTTTGTGAACTCTTCCTCCTCTCTCTCCGTATAGACCATGTGCCTGTGAAAAGGGAGGTTATCAAAACAAAGCAATCATTAATCTTTGTTTGCAAGTCCTAAACATCAGAAGGGAAAGCCTTACTTTCAGCCAGCGTTTTTTCCATTACCTAGTCTGTACACATCTCTCAATCTGCACAACTTGAGCTAGTAATTTGGTATAGGAAATCAGTTTATGGCCACAAATTTTCAGGTAAGAAGGAGAAAATTCAATTTGTTAAGATTTCAAAAGGATTCATTTTGGCTTCTTTACATAGGCAGCAATGGGAAGTAGGCTAAAATGACAGGAACGTGAAGATCTGCAGTGTTTCAAGTAAAAGTGGATGATTTCCGTTAGATAATTTTACATTTGTTTATGAAAGATTGGCACAATGATCTAATTAAAACATGTAATAAGCATCCCACTCGCTATTGAAGCTCGGTGGAACCAAATGTGACATTTTTAGCAGGCTGCAAGTTATGGTGAGAAATGATATTTCATTGCAAAGTTTCAACATTTCTGATGATCTTAAACACCCGTGGGAATCACAACACTACTTCTTCTCCCAAGAAGGTCTGTCACTAGGAGTGTTTTAACCTTAATTGTGTTATTTCTGAATTGTCCTGTTACAAAGGCCTTTCTCGTCCATTAGGGTGCCTGTCAGAATGGAGTACTTCCAGTGAGCAATAGCAGGAAGATTACCTGTAGGAAACAATCTTTGGACCAAATAAACTAGGTTATTTCCTTGCTCCTTATAAAATCGCGCACCTTAAAGTAACTTTAGATATTGCCTCTTCTATGAGCTAGTTTAGGAAATGAATGTATGCTGCGATTTACTGCTTCAAGCAGCGCTTAGGAAGATAGGATAGGATCCCTTATTCTCCAGTGCTGTAGTTGGGAGTTCAGACTGGTTTGTGTAAGAGCCATACTGCAATTACCAGGGTAAGCAGTAGCTATACAATTGGTAGTGATGCTCTTCCAGGGTAAGAACAGATTTGATGGATTATGGCAAAAATAACCAGGCTGAAGCCTCAGTGTGTTAGCACCCCCAGAAGCCTCAGCCTCGCTGGAACAATCTGTTTTCTGACACATGAAGCGTCAAGACTAAACGGTAGAAGGCAGTCCTTCCGCAGAGCCAGAAAACACCTCCAGCCCACGGAAACCCTTCTGGAGAGGAACAGGGTGAGAAGGACGTCTTCCTGCACGCTTGTAACCTGTGCAGGCCAGCGAAGGAGCCGGCTTGCGCTCGGGGCTCTGCCGCCCTGCTGCCGCCTGCCTTCAGCCGCGGG